ATAATAATGTGCATGATGCAAATAAGGTGGTTTGATCTTTTAATTTAAGGTCATATTGAATTTTGGATTTATACTTTAAACCATAGTTATCATTACCATACCGTATTGGTCGATATAGTCAGTACATACGAACTTTTACATTGAACTGAAATGATATATAGTCCAATTTTATTTCAATCAAATTTTATCTTTTTTTGGGTCAAATTTTGGTGTACCAATGAGTATTTTGGCATGCTGGCCGATACATGAAAATTAACCGGACCACTCAATTCAAATTTAAAAATGGTAAATTTCATTTTTGGTCATCAACTTTAATATTCTATATACTTCTCATCCTTAAACTTTTTAATGCATTTTTTTAGTCTATTAACTATGAAAAATATATTTTTTTAGTTCTACTATCAATTACTCCATTAAGTTCGTCTAAATATACATATTTTAAGTCCATTAACTTAAAGCGGATGGACAAAAAATATACATACATTAAAAGTTGAGGAATTAAAAATGATCATTTTAAATTTGTTTTCAATTTATAAAAATATGATGATTTTAAACATTAATATTTTTTATTTTATTTTAAAATTTGATATTTAATTTATAAAAATATATATTTATAGCGATAAATCTAAAACAGTACGCGAAAAATTTTGATATCTAATATATACTATTTCAATAATAAAATCGATATGTATGTTGGTATGATATTGACAACTACCCACCAAAGAAAACTTTTTCATCGTGTGTCTTTTTAAATTCAAAACTTTATTTAAAAAGAATCGAATTCTTTTTATTTGGATTAATAGGCTAATGGATCTTAAATATTTATTAATATACTATTACTTCCGTTAAAAAGAAAAAAAGAGAGAGACTGGAAGAAACGGATTGGGGAACCTTCAGAAATCGGTTTTGCTGCTAATTGCAATTCCGTACCTCAGTCCCTGCAGTCCGCATGGCATTTTCAGATTTTCTTAATAATATAAAGATGTAAAAACAGAGGCCTTCTGACACGTAAAGAAACAAAATCTATAGCAGATAACCAACAGGCATGAAACAACAGTAGCAACAATGGCATACTTGTTGTCTCCACAAAAATAATTAAATTGAAACTTGCATAAGAAGATCCAACAACATGTCCTAATAAGTAATAACCAAGATCAACAGTATTGGTTCGGGTGAGTTGAAACCAGGCATGAAATTCCATAATAAAACCCGATAAGTTTGTTAGATTGACAGCCGCAAATCTTCAGAGCCATTGCAACATTACGGCATAAAAGCAAACAGCTCGATGCCATGTTTTGCATAACATGGGGACGGAGCCAATGAAGGACAGGGGGGAGCCGCCCTATACTTTTGAGAAACATTTAATATGGTATTCTAACTTTTATTTGTTAAAAATTTTACTTTTATAATATGAATTTCAAGAGCCATTTCAAATGTATAGAAAATATTTAGAATCTCAATAAAGAGTTTTCAAAAAATAAGGATATGATTTAAATAAAATGAACTTTATGTCAATTTAATTAATTAAGAATTGGAGTTCTAAACATTTCCTCATATATTAAGCCCAAAAAAAAAAAAAAAGCTTTAGTTCTTTATTTACATAACTTTAAATTGCAATTTTCTCTGGTATCCTTTTATTTTCTTTTCTAATATTTTATGTAATAATTTAATTTCTTTTTTGGCATCTATGTATGTTTTTACTTTCATTATTGAATTTATAATTATATTTTTTTTTGGTAAAACAAACTAAAATAAAAGTTAACTTCCAAAACGAAAAAAAAAAAAAAGGAACAAAATTTTTAATTGCAACCAAAAAAAAATTTTTTCCCACAATTAACACCTTCCATAATTTGAAATTTGCAAAAAATCTTATATTATGAATAAAGTTAGGGTACAAAAAAAGGATTTGATTGTGAATTTTTAGATATTTATAGATTTCAAATTATAAAAGGTATTAATTGAAAGTAAAAAGTCTTGAGGGGGTTGACCATAAAAAAATTGTGCAGATACAAATAGGGGTTTGGCCAATAAGGATTGAATGATTTTAGTTCATCCTTGTTTCTAGACTAACTTCTTCCGTTTTTTATTCCAGGCCTTAGATGGCCATTGCTGTCTATTCTAGTCGTCTGAAATCTGTCTGAATGGATGATCTGTAGATGCCGTATGGCAATAGTTTCAAAATCACAAGTAAGCGGAATTGTTGATCAAATTTTGAGTTTCTAAAGCTCATTTCCTTTTCAATACCCATCTCAAAAAGGTTAACCAAGTATCTTTTCTTGGGTGCCAAAGAAAAGTATTCATAATGACTTTGCACATTACCCTGTATTTTATATGGTGCTAAGTGCTAACCATTCATGAAATGGGACCCTGTTAAGGGAGCATGTTCTCACTTGTGTACACTACTCCAATAGGGTAGAATGGAACCCTGTTTTGATTACTCTGCTTCTAGTGTGACAATGCATGTTTGAGGAAAGTTCTATTCCTGAGGCTTGTATTATCCATGATAGAGGAATAGACCAGGATCTATGTATGGGGATAGGCTAACAACAATGCCATGGCAATGAGGAGTCTTCTCAAGGTTGATCAGCACAAGGTTCAGTATTAAATTGAACTCTCCTGAGAAGGCATAAAAGGCATCCCCTGAAACAGTGTTCCAAGTTCTACCTATAATTGTAGAGGTGAAAGACTAGATCAATGGATTCTTGATGTTTAAAAAATAAAATAAAATTACAATTTATTAGAAAATTTTTTTAAAAATTAGTTCATTAGGTGTGATACAATAAGAATATGATGTTAATTTTATCAGACAAAATAAGAGAAGTCTTGTTGAATTGATAAGAGAAAAAACGAAAAAGCTGGTTTATGTCTGAGTTTACAAAGGTAGTTCTCTGTGGATATCACCAATAAACCCCACAAGAACATGAACCATCTTTAAAATGGTGGAATCTGTTTATGTTCCTCAAAACAATATCCCGGGGGATAATTTTGCAGATGAATTTGAATGCAGTATGACAATCAACAAACTCTTGAGAGTTTTTTTCACCCTAATTAGTGCCCTTGGTGGGGTGGCAATCAACCCAAATGCTACCACAAGTTTCTCACTGTGGTGGTATAGAAGCTTCTCTTTTTCACTTCGTTCTATGTCGTGTATGTAAATCTCGACAATGGGAGCATAACCAGCTTTATGTAAAAAGATCACTAAATTCATCAAGCTTTGCATAGATTTCCTCAGTTCTAGCATGGCTTCTGTCTCCTACGATAAAGGTGTACACCTTTTCTTTAACCTCAATACAACTCATATCCGCTTCTTTCTTCACCTTGCTATCTTTCATCAATCTTCTCACCTTCGCTACATTCCCCCACATTCCAACTGACGTATATATGTTTGCAAGGAGAGCATGGGTTCCAAATTTTTCAGCAGGTTCAAGAGCCAGAAGCATCTCAGCAGCTTGTTTCCCAATCTCATCATTCTCTTATGGATTCGAGTAGCACTAAGAAGTCCCCCCCAAGCTGGTCCTTTTGCTTGAAAAGGCATTTTATTTGCAAGCTCGACTGCCTCATCTAATCTGCCTGCCCTGCCAAGGATATCAATCATGCAAGCATAATGCTCTTGAAGAGGTTCAATTCTAAACGACCTTTTCATTGATTCCAAGTATTTTTTCGCTGCAGCTACCAGACCTGCATGATTGTAAGCGGAAAGGACACTAACTGAAGTTATATGTGATTGGGAGATATACCATCTCCTATCGTCCAATTGAACAACTATGGCCTCTCTCCCATGTCCATGTTGGGCAAGTCCCCCGACCATCGCAGACCATGAGACCATACTTCTCTCGCGAATCTCAGAGAAAGCATGCTCTGCATTATCTATGCTTCCACATTTGGCGTGCATGTTGACAAGAGAGTTGCCAGCGAGATGTAAACATGTACTTGTTTTCCTTGTTCATATGCTGATAAATTTGTGCAGGCATTGAATCTGGCTTTATACCCCTATCTTGCATTTCCAAATATAGGTTAAGAACTTCTTCACATTGTCCATACTGACCATATGCTGTGATCATATGCGTGGAAGCCACCAAATCAATTACCGGGCACTCTTTGAATATTCTTGCAGCTTCTTCGACAATGCCACATTTTCCACATGCATCAATAAAACTGTTTACAGCATAATTGTCATGCTCAAACCCTGATTTTACAATGTCTGATTTTACAATGACTGAATGAACTTGTTGGCAAACATGCATTGTTATCCTGCAAGCTAGCAATGGATTTAAGAACTGTTGTCAAAGTTATCTGATTGAGTCCCATTCCCTCCTTGAACGTCAAAGACAATAGCAATACAGCTTCTCTGTCATCCTTGTTTTTGTGAATGTCCAGAAATCACAACATTCCACAAAATCAAGTCCATAAAGCTTTGCTATGATTCACATCCTTTCTCAATGAATGCACTTATATTGGGGGCAAGGTTAACAGATTTTTAAAGCTTACTTTGCCAGCCCCATCATAAATGCTAAACTTGTGGCGTTGAGCATTGTGAAACAATTAGGTTGAGTCCAAACATGGCAAAACACTCACATCAGAATCTTGCCGAAGATGGTAGCCATAAGTTGTGTATACATTAATCAAGTGCTATAACATGGCAAGCAGAAATTCTAATTTGTAAGGCCATACCATACCATTTTGATTTACTGAAGCTTTTCTATTAACTCTTAGGGGTTAGATGCACTGAATGTACCGTATCAATGTAAAAATTCAAAGTTATTTGGTAATAAATTAATTTTAAAATTTATCATATTAATGTAGAAACTATTAAAATTATCTCCCATTGAATTAATTTTAAGGTACATTAAGAGTATGTTGGTGAAACTTATAAGTGTTTTAACTTTTTGACATTATTTATATTTTATAAATTTAAATTTTTTTTAAAACTTATTTTTTAAACTTCTTTTTAATTTTAAAAAGATCTTAAAGAATAAATTTTAAAAAATTTTAAACTTTTGCTTTTTATATACTTCATTTTTTATCATTTCATACTTACTTTTTATTATTTTTACAAGCAATTTTTATATTTTTCTTTCAATAAAAATTTAAACTTATGACTCATAAATAATATTAAAATAACAAAAGTTATAAGAAGTACCACCAAGGCCCTAAGCCAATGTAGAAGCTGTTAAGTTTATATAACAATAAATTAATTTTAAAGTATGTAAAATTCTACAAACCAACTGTAACAGTAAAAAAAAAAAAAAACTTAACTTAAGCCTTTCCACCAAACTTTTTTCATCTAACCGAAAGCAACCACCCACGTGATGGATGAATTTCTTCTCCCATGTTCTTCCATTCAAAAGGAAAGGAAATATCCCCAATTTCATTGCTGGCAAACTCTGCACATTAATGATACCTCAATCATTTTCATGCCCCCACCAAATCACTTGACCCCCGTTGAAACCTTATCTACCATACAATGAACCCAACAAGAAATAAAGGGACCAAATTACCGAAATATAATGAGTAATCAATGAGGCAGCTTGGAAGTACCAATGAAATTATTTGGATTAAGAGTTTGTAAACTCATATTATATATGTTCCCAACTTTAAGCCTAATGGCTTGTTATAGATTTTTGTGGGAATATTATTTGAGTTGAATATTTGAGTTCTCATAATTTTTTTTTTTCATTCTCTATTGTAAGAATAATTGTATTATTACTAAAAAAACACTTATATATCAACGACATATTAATTTGAATAAAAAAGATTCAATTCTCTTTTAATAAAATTTTAAGTTCAGATATTGTGAATGGAAAAATAGGTGTTGAGAAAACTTCCCTTTAATAGAGTCTAATGCGATTTGATTCCGAATTAGTTGAATTTAATGTGATTATCGGATATCAAGAGATTAATAAAAAAAAACACTCATATTATATATATATATACACACACTAAATTATATATATATATATATACACATACACATAGAAAGAGATATAAAGACAAACGAAACTCATATGCAATTTGTAGAAGATCGTCAAATACAATTTACATAATGGTAAGGCTCTGAACTTCAAGGGAGCCAGCCTTTTATTTCTTCTTCCCGACTCTCAAGACTTATTTAATTAATTATGGGTCTTATGGCATTGCCACTACTAGTACTTCTAGGTCAAGTAAAATAGAAACAAAATAATCTACAAAACTTGCCCCAGTCTGTAATAGAACTTGCTTGAAGAATCAGTCATTGATCTCTGTTATATTTCTTGCTTTACCACCCAACAAATCCCAGGAAACTGCAGCCAAAAACAATGCCACATGTTAATTAGAAAACAACAAAATCCCATTTTGATAATTATGAGTCATTGGAAGGATTCCATGAACAAAATTAAAAGATTAATGCTTTGAACACCAGATTCGAGGTGAGATTGTAATGGTATATAAGTGTTATGCATAAATCAGTACTAAATTTTAAGAGTCACGTGGATTTATACTCAAAAGTACCAAGCAGAAGTTTCAAAACCCACAATTATGGCAATTTGAATTTTGAAGCTGTAGATTATTAATCAATCATCATAAAAAACCCATATTGCAAATTGGCAACGAAGAAACCCCATCACACGACTTTTGTTTCTTACAGAAAAGAGGGCAATAATCATCTGATTCGAAAAAAAAAAATTGGATTGAAGAAAGAATCAAAGAGCTTAAGAAAGAGTAAGTTGAAGAACCTAAGAGCACGGACGGCGAAGTGCTGAGTGAGAAGGTGGAAGAAGAAGTTGGCTCCGTGGAGGAACACCACGATTCCCGTACATCCCAATACAAGTAGCTCCACCATCATCGAAATCAGAATATGAAGAACAAGGGCTGCGTCCTCAAGCTCTCACTTTCTCTACTGTGATAGCTTTTAAAAATACACACCTTCTCTTCCTATATCTTTATAGTTCAGACCAGAGGAACCTTGTAATTAATTCGATTACTTATTTAAAGAGGTACATGTATTTTTTGGGTGGGGATAAAAGTGTCCTGTGCATACAAAAATTATTAAAATTATATTAATAAAATAAAATAGTCCTTTCTAAATCATATTTTTATAAAATTAAAAATAAAAATATCTTAAAATTATGTCAATTTTAATAAATTTTTATTAAAAAGAATTAAAATAATTTATTTATAACTTCAGTTTATTTTGGTTTTTTGATAGTAACCTAATGATACGAAATAATTTTGAGCTTTTTTCTTAATCTTGTTAAGTTTGACTAGCAGTTATTAATATCATGAAATAATATAAAAAAAAGTTATTAAGTATTTTAATAATTTTATATATTAAATTATACTTCTTTTATTTATTTGTAATAGATTTAATTTAATTTTTTAACATTTTAAATATAAATTTTAAATAAAAAATTAATATATAATATAAATAATTATTAAAAAATTTTATCAAATAAAAATATTTAATAAAAATTTCACATAAATTTTTTTAATTATTATTTATATAAATTATTAAAATTTAATTTAAAAAATTAAAAAATTAAATTAAATTTATTAAAAATAAACAAAATTATAATTTTTAGGATATATCAAAGTTAGTACCTTTAAGTGCAATAAATGTACGTTTTTATAATTAATTTATATAAAAAATAATAAAAACTTAATTTTATTTTAGTTTTATTGTCACGTATATAGTTTTAATTAATTAATTAATTAAATTTTAATTAATTTTAATTATTTTTTATATACATTAATTATAAAAAAATATTTATTATACTTTTATTCTATGTACTCTAAAAATATAAAGTAAAAATTTTTTTATTTTTATAATGTAATTTAATATAAAAAATATTTTTTTAATTTTTTTAATATCAAATGAGTTGCATAGGTCAACATCAATTTTCACATAGACCACACAACACATAAAAAATTGATTATTACACTGATCTTTGATAAATGGTACACGTGATGTTCTCTCCTGGAATTAAGACCGAATTATCTAGTTACGGTCTTAATCCACCAACTGCCATTCTTAGTTCAGCAATTTAGCCATTTCCCACCGCCACTGGCCGACCCCGCCCCTAGTCTCCACCGACTCTTGTCGCTTACTGTTCTTGTCCGTGCAAAGTATGGCTTGGCCAACGTAAGGCTAAATGTGAAATTTTTTTTTAAAATTATTGTGTTGAAATAAATTATTATTTTAAAAAACATTGATATAATTTATTTTTAAAAATTATTATTTTTTTAAAAAAATAAAATTTTAAAATAATATATTGCATCAATATTTTTTCTATTAGTGATTTGTTTTCTTTTTTTTTGAACAATTTACAACTTAAGAAGGAAGGGATTTTTTTATTAAGTTATCAGTGAGATCAAAATCCAAATGAACAAAGCCATACCTTTTAAGGTTTTGGAACAAATCACTGTATCTAAAAATTTAATTCTTAATAATGATTTATTTAACATAATAATTTAAGTGGAATTTGTAATTTTTAGCCCAAGGCAATGTTTCAATCATTGTGCATTTTCGATCCATAACTTGGGTTAGATTTGTCGAACGAGGACTATAATTATTAAACGGAGGGAGTAGTACCTAGCAAGCAAGCACGTGAATTTGACAATGACCATGACATCAAATTAAAACCAATCAACATATTTGATTTGACTCTAGAATGGCTACCAAATATTCAACTTATCCGATAACTGTCGGTGCTCCTTTAACCTTTTGACACTCCCATGTTCTTCCTATTTCTGGATCGAAATGGTTACATAACCACATTTATTGATAACAAAGCTTTAGAACAACCATGATATTTGAAAAAGGTAAACAACAGTCATACCATGTTACGAAAATTTGTTTTTGATATTACTTTTATTTCTTTTTTGCTTTGATATGTGATCTTTTTGGTGCATTAGATGATGATTGTTTGAATTTAGACTATAGATCTCACTGGTAGTTGCTTTAGTATATGAATATGATTGAGCAATGGAAGGCAAGTCAGTTTGAATTTGTCCTGAGCATCCATGGAAAACACATACTAACAAATTAGAGAAGAAACATATGTAACATACCAAATCAGAAGAGAACACTTTAGAGTCTTCTCTTTTTGATCAGTGTTTCTGCTGACAAGAACCAGACGTGATGGTCCAGATGAATTATCTACAATGGAAATTTGCATTAATAGAAGGTACAACGTAGCAAGAAATGAATCACCTCATATACCAAAGTTGAGCATAATTACACTAGTAAGGGTCCATAATTCAGTAGTCCATTTCTGGTTCATAAATGAGTTAAAAAGGACAGATGGGGGATATCTTATCATGGAGCAACCAATTGCAGCCTCAACATTCCAATTGGGCATGCATTAGGTTGTCAGACATCATAGAAACATTAGAATCCCACCCAGAAGTACCTCTAAGATTTGGATAACTCATTTCATTATTTTCGATTAACTTCCAGCTTGTTTGTTACTCATTTAACAGAGTTGACAGAAGCAGATCCTGGAGAAATATGGCTCTACCAGCAGCTTGCCTCATCCTTTTTTCTCGCTCTTCATAACTCAAATTTGGATCGAAACTGTAAGAGATAGAATGCAAAATGAGATGTTAAAAGGTACAGCAGCAAAGGCAGTATTGCAAAAGGCAGAGGAATTGCCAATGCAACACAAGTATAGGGAGGAAAAACAGTCTAAGACATGCACTTAGATGGAAAATTAAGTTAATTTCTTCTCAAAAAGTATTAAAAAAAGGGACATCAATGATTTATTGAATAAAAGGGAAGACCTATAGATGGCTGTAAGTGCCAGATATACTCAAGGCTTATTGTGAAATTTGAACAAACTTGTAGGCTCAACAGCGAGAAAGATGATCAGGATTTACATTGTTACATGTTATAATATTTCCACTGATTGAAATAGTCCCCTTGGATGTTTTTAGAGAGAAATGTCATAGTGATAATTAGTTGTTGCATCTTAAGGAAGGAGTTAAGTACTATGAAAAAGGTTAAAAGATTGTTAACCACGCACATTTTCTCTCAATAATACAAAAGAAAACCTGAGGCAATTGAGGAAGTACCTTGATTTCCACATATGGGTTGGTGCTGCATTCTTTGAAGATGTGTCTTCAGTACTTGATACAACAGACTTTGTAATATCTTCTGCTTCAGATGCAGGGAAATTCAAAAGAAGTGATGAAAGGAACGGATCAGTAGCAGCATTAGACACGTTAACACTGTTTGACCTATATCCACCACCACCTAGAAGTACTTGCAGGTGAGCCTCACGGAGATCACGGCCAAGGAGAGACAATGCTTGACTGTTAGGAACTGCAACTCTACGTAACCTACGGCGTCTCTGCAAGTAATCTTCAGTTAAAGGAAACCTAAATGGCAATTCAATCAGTACACAAAATCAAGTAGTTTGACATGGATAATGTATCCAAATCATAAGAAGAGAAAGACCAAGGAAATTAAATTTCCATTATCAAGGATATCTTGAGCAAATGTCCATGCTGCAGAGTGATGTGATTCAGCATGTCACGAGAAACTTTGACAGAGCAAATGGGACATAGCTGCAAGGCCAAGGTTAATACAACGTGAGACTCTTTCATAAGAAAAATCAGAAAGTGAAGATGATTTTTAACCCCCCAAAGAAAAATTCTTACAACGATAATCTTAGATCTTGATGCTGCAAGCACCACTTCTCTATTAGACTACCATTTCTCTTCTGATATATACTAAACATAGTAAAATTCCTTTCCTAGCGCAGATGTTTCTCCTCCTCATTTGTAATTAAACTTTGGATGAAAAGCACAAAATGATCATTACTCAGGACATCCACTAACATTGCCATAACTAACATCTTTTCCTGATTGGCCAAGAAGCCAAAACTAGCATCAAAATAAACAATCTGATCTTTTTCGCTGCCATATCATACACAAATCACTAACACCAATTGCAAAACCAAGCAAAAACGATATTTACTTTCTCAAACCAAACCAAAGGTAACCTCTTTCCCAAGCAAATATCAATACCAAGGAGAAAAACTGAATTTTTTTACAATAAAATCAATAAAAACAAGTCAATACTCAATAGGAAAAAGGACAAACAAAGGGTTAGTATGGTAGTACAACATACCAGGATCAAATGAATAAAAATACAAGCAGTAAATTTTCCTGCTCTGAAACAAAAAACCTCATAACAAATCAAACATAAAAAGTTTAACAGAACTGATTTTTTTTTCCCCCTTTATTCATTTTATATACTTTTTCCAGTAAGTACATATATCAGAATCTGAAATTTCTCTTACCGTAACTTTTGACTCGCACGAGTGCTCATCTTCGAGATGCGAACACAGAGACGAGATGTCGAAATCCTCGTAACAATAAGGGCATGGGAAATCGGGTCGGACCTCTTCTTCTACCTCGAAATCATCGATGCCTAAACGATCTGAAATCAAAATAGAATCGAAATAAATAAGAAGCAGAAAATCAAAAGAAGAAGAAGAAAAAACAGATCGAAGAAAACAAAGAAACAAAAAACAAACCCATGTGAGAGCTGTGGAGATGGTGCTGCAAGGTGTATTGGCGCTTGGCAGCAGCAATTCGGGAGGTCCAGAAATCGGAATCCATTGAAGGTTTCAAAATCCGAGCTGTGGTTCCCT